AATTTGACACTGGGAGATGTGTTATATGACACAGATATGTTATTTGACAATGTGAGAAGTTATCTGACACCGAGAGATGTGTTATCTAAAACCCAGAGATATGTTCTTTTACAATGAGAGCGGTGTTATCCAACATGCATTATCAGGCATTGAAAGATGTTACCTGACATTAGAAGATGTGTGTTATCTGACACAGAGAAATGTGTTATCACTGAGAAATTGAACAAACAAACAAAATAACCAGCCTGTAGACATGCATGCAAGTGAAAGCAAAGCACCTCTCTTCACTCCATGAAGTGTGTGCCGGGTATGCTGTTCTAGTATTATACTCATGACTACCAGGCTAGCAGTAAGTAAAAAAAAAAAAAAAAACTTTTTACACCAGTGGGCGTATCGGGCATATGTTCATCTTCTCTGTGTTCCCCAGCTGTAAACTTCAGAGGAAAGTTATGGTTGTACATCCTCTTCTGCACTTCAGCCTTATTCCAAGACGTGAGTTTTGCGTGCACATATCTTTTACAAATCTAGCTTATCTGTATGCAGGCTGTTGGTTCTTCACCTCTCAGGCAGACACTCTGACTTTGAAGAAAATGTCCTTATCAGCTGACTCTTACAACATACTTGGAAAGAGGGGGAGGGAAAAAGGGGGGGGGGGGGGTGGAGGGTCATCACGTCTACTCCCTCTTCCTAAAATAGCACCCAGAACACACATGGGCAGCATCCAGCATATGATTCTAGACCCATATAATTATAAATCAGTCAGGGCTCATGTTTACTTTACTTTCCAGGATATATATTCATCAGGAAGCTGACTATGTTGTTTTTCATTCAGACCTGACTGTTTAAGAATCCTCATGTTCTAGGGCCCCACTGGGAAAGGGAGGCGGGGGGGGGGGGGGGGGGGGGGGGAAAGGAAAGGGGGTAAAGGAGGAGAAGAACAGACCCCCTGCCTTCCTAGCAAGCCTTTCATGAGAGTCAATTAACTAGGGGGGGGGGGGGGGGGGGGGAAGAACAGAAACAGACTCACTGGATCCCTATCAAACGTGTTGTAAGAGTCAACTTATTAATTTGGGGAGAATTTTCTGCAAAATCAGAGTGCATCTGCTGAGACGCAAGGAACCAACAGTCTGCATTTAAAAAAGCTTGGTCTGTGAAGCGGATGTGCAAGTAAGAACTCAAGTTCTGGAACAAGACTAAAGGTCAGAAGTGGATGAACAACCAGAACTTTCTGCCGCAGTTTTAGCTGGTGAATGAGAAGGAGAATAAATTTAAAAAAAAAAGAGGTATATTATTAATAAAAGGTTTTCAGTTGATGCCCCTTTGTACGCCGACAGAAAAGACCAGAATTTCCCATACACAGAGGGGAAGAAAAAAAAGAGCATAGTCTAGCAATTTTTGTGAATTATTTTTCCCACCATTTAAGATTATTTTAGTCATACACATGAAATAACATGGTCTTGAAATACTAACATCACTAACACTAAACAAAGAAGAATAGACTTCAATGATAACTTACACATTCAGAAAAAATTTCAGAAATGCGATGGTTAATGTGTTAATGGAGAAGCTAGAAAGAAAAAAAAAAGATATGCAAAGAGAATATCTACAACACACATGCTAGAGAAGAGAGCACATCTACGGTTCAAGAACATCCTCTCAATGGTTACCTGGTGGTGCCCCCTTTCTCCCACGGCCTTTATATAAATAAAATAACAAATCAGACATTGTCAATAATAACAAAAGGTAGGTAGGTAGTTGTACCCCACCAAGACATCATACAAGCGATAAACACCCGGTGACACAAAGTGCCACCATGGGGATGAGGATCACCCGTGGAGAGGTCCCAGAAACCCCATATCTATTCCCCGGCTATATTCAGGGCCCCTGGCAGAAGCCAGGGTGGGGCTTCAAACCAAAAATTGCATCCCACATGGGGACGGCTGTATTCTACAACAAAAGAGACAAGATTTGTTTCTATAACACAAGGATTGTGACAGCAAAATGAGCATAACTTCAGTTTTGTATTCACAGGATAATATGTTCAATCAATCAATCAATCAGGTGCCATTTCCACAAAGGAGGCTAGTTGCAACTGATCTCCAACACACTCTTCCATCCTGTGTTCTATATGTACACTCTCTCAGACTGTCATTCGTCCATCTCTTCATATCTTTCCCCTTGGGCTATCCTTCGAATAACGGTCCCAAATTATCCAGGCTAAAAATAAATACCCAGCAAGGCCTCAATCACATGTAAATTGCAGACTTCTTTCTGCTCCAAATAAAGGTCCCAAATCATTGAGGGTGTCGACATACGCTAACAGGGTCTCACTGATATGTAAAATGATATGATTTATTTCCGGCAACTATGGTAGGCAGACTATCAGCTCCGACACTGAGTGCTAGGTTTAACTTCTCCCGTGGGTCTTAAGTTTAACTTCTCCCCTGGGTCTTAGGTTTAGGGTTAGGGTTGGGGTTAGGATTAGGGCAAGGAGTATTGCAATTACGACATGGCCACCAGAATCTGTCACAACGCTGCAATCGCGACACTATTAATGAAGGGTTATGGACGCAACTTACGAGGACGCGACCTTACCATGGTGGGACTAGTAGTGTGTTGTTTACTGAATATTTTGCAAAGTTTCCTGGCAGCACAGTGACAAACATTAAGGCCCTGTTAGGGTATTTTTTGAGTCTCGATAATTTGGGACTTTTACTCGGAGGATAGCCTCCCCCTTGTATCGATGCCAGCTGTCCCCTCTAGTATGTTTTTTATGCCCTGATGAGCCTCAGTGGTCTGAAGTGCAGGCTTCAAACCGGCATGATGCTGACCAACATCACCCATCTTGTGCCAACTGGTCTATAAAATATAGGTCTAGCCGTATATGCCCTATACGCCTAAAGGCCCTTCACTTTTACTATAGTTTTTATAAGCGTGTTATGTCTTTTAAGATGGCTGAAACAGTTTACTTCTCTCTATTTTATTTCCAACAGCAATTCTCTTTTCATTACCAGTCTTCTGACAACCTGTCTAAGCCACTGTGTTGTTTGTTTGAAATAAGACATTTCTTCTGTATAGCTATTTTCCCCAAAACAATATGTTAACTTTAGTGTTGTGCTCTTTCTTGTAATATGTTCTTTTTGTTCTCAGCTCAAATCAGTATAATATTCTTTAATATTATATTTGTTCTGATGATAATTTTAATTTATATTTCTCTTAAGGTAGTGTAACATTAATGGGTGTTCAGCCCCAACATTCTTCAGTAAAGATTTTCAAGTATTTGATTCTATGCGGTTGTTTTTTATTGTTTATTTAAAAAAAAAAAATTTCCAAGGAAATATACCATTTTAATAATTTACACAAAATTACTTGTGTTAGGAACAACTTAACCACAACTTAAGAGAACTGACTATAAAAACAAGCCATGCAACAGCAACCATTCTCAGCAATACAACAATAGGGGGGGAAAAAGGTTAATATACGTATAGAATCTGCAAATATGAATCCCACAAAAGAGACTAACAAAGACAAATTTCGTATTAGGTCGAAGGCAGGGACACGCGCAAGCACGCACACACACACACAAAGTCTTTAGCTGTAACATTCCACCATTCATTAAAAGGTACATCATTTGACTTTGATGAGTTTGTTGGGTGCCTACAGGCCAAAGTGAAATGAAAGACAGAAGAATCAAAAGCTTGTGGGTAAAAATTTTTAATTGTTTATGAATTCTGACATTCCAGGTCAAATAAAATTTGTTTGGGTCAAAAGTCGTTACACAATGTGTGCTTTGCTTAAGTGGCCAGAAGAGCACACCCCCCCCCCCTCCCCCCACCCTAAAAAAACATTAAAAAAAACACCCCCTCATAAATCCTCAACATGTGTGTGCTTGGCTTAAGAGCAGCACACACACAAAAACCAAAGATGAAGAAGAGCAGTTGAAAAGGAAGAGGAGGAGAAGAAGAAACTTCATGCAACGTAACTGTTGTAGCTACTATGAGCTGGTTTAAAAAAAAAATCATGCATTAATCAACACAAGAACACATTAAACAGATCACCAAACTTCAAAAATGGTGGTGTGTCAGACATTTAGCTAAAGCTTTAAAAAATGTTTTAATGTCAGTTTTAAGTACTGCATACACATATTGTATTTTAGTGCATTAATTACAACATAAAAAGTCAAATTACTAGTACTCATGCATTACTGTATTTATTATACAATGTATAAGAACAGTGACTAATAACATTTATATTTTATTGGGTTAGTTTTTTAGTAACATGTAAGAGAAACAATTTATATAAGTGCTAAGGGTAGTCTATTTTATGCTATAGCATGTACTATATGTTGTAAAGATCAATTCAACTGTTACCTCAAGCTTATTAACTGTTACTGTATTTATTATAATAAGTTATAAAGTTCAATTCAACTGAGTGCTTCCACTAGTTTATTAATTGTTATTATTTATTTATAATAGGCTGTAAAGGTCAATTCAACTGAGTGCTTCCAATGGCTTTTTTATATTAAATATTATAGTATGAATTATCATTTGTAAAGATCAATTTGACTGAGTGCTACCTTCAGACTAGTAGTAAATGCTATTTTAGCAGTAAAAATCAAGTCAATTAAATGCCATCTCTTGCATTTTGTTTTTTTCTTAAACTGTACATACTGTCTGTAAAGTTGAATTTATGTACATGTACAACTGTCAACTTTCTGAATCCTCTGAACAAGAAACTATTTACTTCCAGTGATCACAATTCATCTCATACAAAACCCAAATGTTACCTCTCGACTTATATAAAGCAATGATATGAGAATTCATCACAAACAACACTAAGCAATACAGCATGTGTTCTTGCCAACCCTTGGCACATACCAACCCTTGACTGATACCAACCCTTGGCACATACCAACCCTTGACTGATACCAACCCTTGGCACATACCAACCCTTGACTGATACCAACCCTTGGCACATACCAACCCTTGACTTATACCAACCTGCACGAAACAAAGTTGCCAGATTGGGCTGTGATGCAACCACGGACACAGCCTGGCTTCTGACCTCAGTCATGCCAGCGGGTGATGTCAATGAGGATGATGATGATGAAACTGATGGTGGTTGGGCATGAAGCTGGTGTTGTGCCAGAGGTGACAAAAAGATGGCTGGGAGAGGCAAATATGGGGGAAAGTGGCTGCATTTGGAGCAGTCGTGGCAGTCTTGGTGACTATAAATGACAATATAAGAAGAAAGTGGCCAATGCACAGTTAGTTACACAAAAGCAAGTGGTAATTATTTGAACAATCCTATGACAGTGTCTGTGTTAGTATCAACTGATCACAATGATATTACAGAAGATTTATGACTTTCAGCTGGATAAATAACAATATGGGGAATCAAATCTCAGACATCCATGTAATAGTTGGGTGTACCACCACATGGGGAATCAAATCCCAGACATCCATGTAATAGTTGGGTGTACCACCACATGGGGAATCAAATCCCAGACATCCATGTAATAGTTGGGTGTACCACCACATGGGGAATCGAATCCCAGACATCCAATAGTTGAGTGTACCACTATATGTGGAATCAAATCCCAGACATATATGTGATAGTTGGGTGTATCACTATATGGGGAATCAAATCCCCCAACATCCATGAAACAGCTGGGTGTACCACTATATAGGGAATCAAATCCCCCAACATCCATGAAACAGCTGGGTGTACCACTATATAGGGAATCAAATCCCAGACATCCATGTAATAGTTGGGTGTACCACCACATGGGGAATCAAATCCCAGACATCCAGGTAATAGTTAGGTGTACCACCACATGGGGAATCAAATCCCAGACATCCAGGTAATAGTTAGGTGTACCACCACATGGGGAATCAAATCCCAGACATCCATGTAATAGTTGGGTGTACCACCACATGGGGAATCAAATCACAGACATCCATGTAATAGTTGTGTGTACCACCACATGGGGAATCAAATCACAGACATCCATGTAATAGTTGTGTGTACCACCACATGGGGAATCAAATCCCAGACATCCATGTAATAGTTGGGTGTACCACCACATGGGGAATCAAATCCCAGACATCCAGGTAATAGTTAGGTGTACCACCACATGGGGAATCAAATCCCAGACATCCATGTAATAGTTGTGTGTACCACCACATGAGGAATCAAATCCCAGACATCCATGTAATAGTTGGGTGTACCATTACACAGGGAATCAAATCAAAGACATCCATGTGATATTTGGGTGTACCATTACATAGGGAATCAAATCTCAGACATCCATGTAATAGTTGGGTGTACCATTACATAGGGAATCAAATCCTAGACATCTATGAAATATTTGGGTGTACCATTACATGGGGAATCAAATTACAGACATCCATGTAACAGTTGGGTGTATCACTATATGCGGAATCAAATCCCAGACACACATATATTAGTTGGGGGTACTACTACACAGGAAATCAAATCCCATTCATCCATGTAATTGTTGGGTGTACCACTATTTTTGGAATCAAATCCCATACATCCATGTAATAGTTGGGTGTATCACTATATAGGGAATCAAATCCTATACATCCATGTAATAGTTGGGTGTATCACTATATAGAGAATCAAATCCCCGACATCCATGAAACAGCTGGGTGTACCACTACACAGGGAATCAAATCCCAGATGACAATTCTGTAAGTAGACATACCAAGGTACTACACACAAAACAGACACCATCTTCTAAATTAAAAATAAAATGAATGCTTTAAAAAAAAAAATGCTATTACATCAAAACAAGTACGTAAAGATACAATAACAAAGCGACCACATTACAACTGATGCACTTTAAGAATGCTAATCTAAGAACTGAAAGATTTAATATAACATTAAACAGGCGCAATAATGTTGTACAGAAATTATGTAAAACTCCTACACACCCACACTACTCCACACATGCGTCTCCACCATTGAAAAAAAAAAAAAAAAAAAAAAACTGGCTGACTAAATGACATACAACTATGATCAAGAAAGACTGTTTAATACTGTCACCCTGAGAAAGCTTGTATTCCTACTTTTATGAGGTTTTGACGACATGAAAACTTTAGGCTGTGGCAAATATCTTAATATAACTCTATATTCTGATTTGACCAATCAACCTGTCAGTTTGTTCTCTCCGGGCTGCTACCTTAAGGTTTACCATACCATCCTAAAATTTGTCAAAATTTCAATCTGGAGGGCAGACAAACCTCCAAAGAAGTCCTAATTAGGGCAACCATTATGACTACAGCAGCCAGGTGTAACCTGTAGTCCAATGCAGGTAAGGAAGCTGATAGCTTTGGTGACTGATGTTCATCCCCACCAGGACACTATACCCAACGACAAACACCCGGTGACACAAAAGCCACCATTCGGATGAGGATCACCGAGGGAAAAGCAGCAGAAACCCTGTTTAACCCGAAGGTTATATTAGAGCCCCAAACAACAGCCAGGGTACCCCCATGTGGGTTCCGGGGCCCTATTGTGGGGAAGACAAGAATTGACCCACTGCCTCCCCAAAAGCATGTCGTAAGAGTCGACTAACTGGGGAGCTTCGTTTGAAGTCGGAGTGCATATGCCTGAGAGGCAAGGAACCAGCAGTCTACATTCAATTGAATCAGATCTGTAAAACTGATGCACACGCAACACTCAGGTTCTGAAGCAGGACTGCAGTCCAGAAGTAGACGAACAACCAGAACTTTACGCAAGTGTACAGCTGGTCAACGCGAAGAAGAAGAACAGCCAGGGTAAGGTTTTAAAATTTAGGATGGAGTCTTGTTAATGACAGTTTTGCTACTGGTTCCAATTGCTTAGTGTTCAGACGTGGTGGGTATCATTAAATGTACCAAACCAAGTTTGGGAGGTCATTTTTGGGGGTGGAAAAAATATAAATACTGTAGTTACTGTGAGGTCATAATGAACTTATGATGACATCACTCTGCTTTCTGTGGCTTGTGTCAACAAACCCTGTTGCCATGGTCCAAGGAAAATAAAAGCAGTTTATTTCTTTGCTCTGTTTATATTTACTAATTACTTCCCTCATTTAAAAAAAAAAAACCTTTTGCGTAAAATAATGACTAAATAGGAGAAACTGATCTTTTTAGTGACTTGGGGGACCGCAACAGCTAGCATGCTTGCCTGTCTGCTCGGAGGTTATATCTTTCAACCCTTGGACTTTTTAAAAAACTGACAACAAGGCTCCACATTTCTTGCGCTTCTTCTTCACTTCCTAAATTACCTAGAGTAGAGTTTCAGACAATTAAATGGATGTGTATCTTTTTAATGAGATTTTGAAGAAAGAAAAAAAAGTAAATTTTTAAGATTCTTAGAGGGCAACAGGGGGTTACAAATCAACATGAAATGTCTTAGTCCAACTAGCACAGTAAAATGAATGGGTCATTAAAAAAAAAAGTGAGAGAGTTAAAGTGTGAGAGCAGAAACAATACACATCACAAATACATGTCAACCAGGTCTCAGTTAAAAAGGAAAGACAATACACGCGGCTCGGTGTCACAAAGTTGAGTCTGCACACCTCACCGGGAAAAGCCGCTGAGGTGTAGCGACTACTGCAGATCGAAAGGTCGTAGGTTCAGGTCCTGAAGGGAGCCTGCCCCCCCTTGCCAAAATGACCTAGGTTACCAGGTTGACGCAGTCTTAAATGGGTACCAGGTACGTACCGGGAAAGTAAAGGCGGCCTGCATGTTGACCATATCACCCCACTGAGTGTCGATTGGTCTACAAAATATAGGTCTAGCCCAATGTGCCTGAAGGCGTGCAGAAGGATCCTTTACTTTTAAATACTTCACCACAGATCATATTTTAATCTTGTGTATAGCATGCACTACAGGCTGAACTAGAAACAGGGAGAGGCAACTACAGACGCACACACACACGCGTATGTGCCATGCCAGTAAGCATAGGCTGTCATGGCTAGCCAGATCATATGATCACGAGAATTACAGATCTGGCGTCACAAAATGGGGTCTGTCTACCTCACCGGGGGTGGGGGGGGGTTGGGGGGGGGGGGGCTGAGGTGAAGCGTCTAGACGCTCACCTGCAGACCACCAGTTCTTGTCTAGTCCCATCCACATGGCCAGGCATTTAATTTTTACTTTTCTCTTGCTCTTATCATCAATTTTTCCAGTTGTTGCCAAGTTTTCAAGTCCATTCCTTGTCATAACATGTCCCCACACACAAAAACCCCACTGTTTAGGTGAGAGAGAGAGAGAGAGAGAGAGAGAGAGAGAGAGAGAGAGAGAGAGAGAGAGAGAGAGAGAGAGAAGAGAGAGAGAGAGAGAGAGAGAGAGAGAGAGAGAGAGAGAAAGAGAGAGAGAGAGAGAGAGAGAGAGAGAGAGAGAGAGAGAGAGAGAGAGAGAGAGAGAGAGAGAGAGAGAGAGAGAGAGAGAACAAAAGTTCACTGTGACGGTAGTTAAGTCAGAGGGGAACAGAAAACAGGAAGATCAAGAGAGAACATGCTGGATAGTTTATCATCATGGCACAAAAGATCATTTTGAATCAGAAAAACCCAAAGTAGTACAGGAGACAGAAAGTTGTGGACTCACACAACTACCAATGCCCTGTGCCATGGACAAGAAGAAGAATCTACTGTGTCTCTGCTGTGATTTAAAGGTTATAAATGAAGTTTTATAATTCCAGCTACAGGTGATTAGGACAGCAGACGGCTTTGTGTTGATTCTGACAAAAGGTATGAGCAATGACTGCTCAAAACCAAAAGCAAACTACTGAACATAAATCCACCAACAGCCAACAAACATGTGGGTTGGTATGCGATGTCCCACAGTGAATTGGCAACTACCCTTTAAGGTCTGCACCATGATCATGCTCCCAATTCATACAACTATGTGAACATAAATGCTTGTAACATGCAGTGCATTACAAATTATTGTTTGTGTTTGAAAAATGATTATTTTCATGCTGAGAACATTAGAACCAAGTAAGCCAATCTTTAAAACTAGTTTTAAAACTTTTAACTGACTATAATACAGTTTGTTATTCGACCTATGCTTGGTTAATATAAATGTGGCTGTAACCTATGGTGCCACTTCAGTCACAGGGACGAATTCTCTATATTCCAAAAATTGTCGGTTTGAGCTGTAAGACAGACATGGCTAGAAGACCCCTTTGTAAGGGGTGACTAGTTGGTCACATATCTTAGAATACTTGTTTCCACAGCGAGGTGCATTCGTCATTTGGAGGTGACAGGTTTGACTCCCCCCACAGCAACTTTAACTTTAGATGTTGTCTTGTGTGTCCTCCTATCAGTCTATTTCTTTCTACGAGCGCTGATCAATACACTGTCTGTTTGTTTATTATAGATAATGCTTCTAGAGCCTCAAGAGTTTCCCTCAGTTTATTTATGTGCATTACGTTTAACTGAATCATGTTCATAAATGAGAAATTTACCCCATATCATCAGCACTGTGTTTATCTTAACTGTTCACTCAACTGAGATCACTGCTTTACTAGTGCAAACTTGTGAAAGATTTGTACTTTCACCGCTAGAGTCTATTTTCAAATCTGGCAGACTAAAAGTTGGTCAGATTTTTTATTCTAGTCAAACCAAATGTTTTTACTATCTTATTTCTTACATAATTTGTAGGGGGAAAAAACACGGAAAAAAAACTTCTCTCTTTCTCTCTGTCTCTAACATTACAACAATCAATTATTTAATCCATCTAACATATGTAACCTGCAGTGCATCTATGCTGACTGTTCATACACATGTGAAACATTCTAAATTTATCAAGCATTAAAAAAATGACATAAATTTAATGCATCAAAAATGAGTGATCATGACAGAATGTACATGTTCTCAATTCTAAATGCTATGAAAATTAAACAATTTATTTGTGTGTACTCTATGTTCTATCTCCTTTAATCCAATCAATTTATTTAATAATAATGCAATTAGATGATATCAGTGTCTGTATTTGTATGCTAACATCCAACAGTGCTCAACACAGCAACATGTAGACTTCCCATGATACAACTATCATTGTGTATTCTTTAAATAATTACTTATGTCTTAGATTGCGTTATACATTTTTATACAACAGTTTAAAACACTTATACAATCTAACAGATTTATAATACTTAGGTAAACAACTTAATATTTTATAACTCACACAATTTAAGTTTTATAAAACTCATATCTTATACAAGTAAAGTTGTTAACCATTTACACAACAATAAAGTGGTTAACCATTTACACAACTAGTTTTATAACACTTATAAACTTAAGTATTATAATACACAACTAAAGTTGTCTAACATTTATACAACTTATTTTTAAAACCCTTACACAATTTAACAGTTTTTTAACACTTAGAAATAAAGCTTAACAGTTTTAAAACACTCATACAACTTAACATTTATACAACCAAAGTTTTAAAACAATGATACAACCTAACAGTGTTATCACTAACTGTCAAATAAGGGTTGACAAAGCAGAGGGAGAGAGCACATGTTTTTAAAAAAATGTTATAAAAATAGACTTACTGGACGTCCAGCCTTTCAGCAGGTTGGTCATAGAAGAAACGGTATGGTAGGGATTGTACTGCTGTTGAAGTATTTTGGAGGGAGGGGGGGGATGCAAAGTTGGGCACAGCAATGGAGGCAGAAGATGGTTCAATGGTGTGGGTTGATGCGGGGGAGGGGAGGGGGAGAATAAAATGAAGAGAAAGAGAAACAATGTTGTAAAATCATATCATACAAATATCTCAAACATGATGGCATGGGCTGATGTGTAAGTTGTTGACGACATAAAACACTTTATTTATTTATTTTATTTTTCAAACGACAACTCGAAAATGAAACAATGTCAAGATGTTAAAATGGAAGTTATCTAGCGAAAGCGATAAGAAAAACTTCCTGCAACCCTGGCAGAATATATAGAAAGTAAATCCACTCCCATGAATGATTAAAAAAAAAAAAAAGCAAATGGAAAGTCCTTCAGGCAACAAGATCTGTAATGGTGACCTACTGATGCACAACTTAGTACTGAAGGCTTCCTCATGTTTGCTCTTAACAGGGCAGTCAACATGTGCTTGCTGTGGTCTACAGCTAAGCTGAGATATCTGCCTTTTGTGGCCAAACACATCTGATTTCAGCAAACTCCAAATTAGTGGGTTTTTTCATGACTTAGGGAGCAGGGGGGTATATTCTCTGTGTGTCTGTTTTTGTGTGTGTGTGTGTGTTCCCCCCCCCCCCCCCCTTCCCCCAAAGGGTCCCTAGAACCCACAAGGTTATGACTTGGTATTTAAACAGAACCTTCCTTCTGCTGTCTGTTGTAAGCAGCCACTAACTCTTACTGCTGCACTCAGCATATGGTGCTAGACCCATTAGACCCATGTGTCATTATTACCCTAGCAGCAGTGCACGGGTGATGCGGTCAACGCTCACACTGGCCACCTCTGCTTCTTGGGTTATTTCCTGGGACCCATTTTTAGCTGGTTCAACCACTGGGCCAAGGTTAATTATAGTGCCTCATTAAGGATTTGAACTCAAGACTTTTGGTTCGACAAGTTAGTGTCCAGCCACTGTGCCGTAGCGGCTTCTGCGTGAATTTCAGAAAGTCAAATATCCTGCCATTATTATTATTGCTAAAGGACCCTTTTCCACACCTTCCTCTGCCTTATGTACCTCTGGGCCCAATGACTAATTGATTGATTTTTATCCATGCCTGCAAGCGTTTTGGGCATATAGGGCTAGACCTACAAGTTTATAGACAATACAACTGACTTTTCTCTAATGATCTATATTACAAATTAATTCTTTCTATAAATTAATTAAAACAATTGATGCATTTCTCTATAAACCAACGGCTTTGATAAATGCATTTTCGATTTTCTCAAAAACAAATAACAAAAGCTAACTGATGTCTATAAATTAATGACTAATGAATTTTATATAAATGCACTGTCACTATTAATTAATTTTCCCTATAAATGATCTGTCAGAATGGAAGCAAATATGGACTTTTATCTACCTTAAATAATTAAGATTTTTTTTTTAAATTTCCTCTATCAATAAAATAAATATAAACCGAATTGTGTAGACAAGCCATTTGTGTGTAAACCTGACTGAGTAGTAAGACATTAATTTTTACATCAATTAGTGAATAATGTAGTCATACAGCAATTTGGAGACAAGTGCTGCTTAGACGTAGATCTTTCGGCTCTTACCAGAGAGGCGAGGGATCAAGTCTGGCTGAAAATACCTACTTATGCCCTCTCATTTTCAAGACCACAAACTACAATAGCAAGCTGGGTTATCCTTTCCTTTCAGACAGCAACTAAAAGTAAATGGTCCTTCCTTTCCGTACCTCAGGCACATTGTGGCAGACCTACTGATTGGTCCTAGTTTTCCTATGGTTTGATATCATTTCCTGACTCAGCAAGAGAACTGATTGCCCACATCAGAAAGAGACACAATTTACATTCTTTGGTCAGGTCATGAGAAGGGGAAAACTTGAGTACATGGTGATGGTGAGAATAGTCGGATGAGAAAAGAGGTAGAGGGGAATCAAAAGAGAAGAAGCTGGACTGTTTGCTATGATGGCATGTAAGCTCATTAATGTCAAAACTGTTTAAAAGTAAATGAGACAGAAGGATGTGGATGGACATGACTACCAACACTATACGGCGTGGACTATAAGAAGAAAAACCTTCAATGCAGTTTGCTTATTTTACCTCTTTCGGGTGTCCCACCTCTCCAGAACTGTTATCTGGTTGTGACTATCTAACTCGTCTTTACTGTATGTTTGTCATATAACCTTTGTAAGTGATTTTGTGCATTCCTGTTCATGACTGTGGTAGTGTATATTCATGTACTGTGCCGGCGAAGGTTATAGCTGCAACAATCAATTGTCATTTGTGGTTGTGATAGTCTGAAGCTAACTGGTTCTACTTTCTATTTGGTCTGAGATCATCCCACAACACTTTTACAGACCAATCTGGCAATAAACAACATGTCATCTGCTTGTACTTCCTAGGACATTACCTGGTACCTAGACTGGGTGACCCTGGCAACCAAAGTCAATTCTGCAAGGAAAAATATTCGCCTCTATTCCAATTTGAACCCCAGAACTTTGGGCCGGCAAGCGTACATCTAGCCATTACTGGGGCTTCCCTTTTCAGGAAATTCCCCAAAAAATCTAGACATTATCATAAGGTACCCAAAAAAAATTTAAAAATCTGGGTTACTACAAGAAAAAAAACACCTGCTTTTGCTGAAGACTGAACCCACAGCAATGTACTGGTATGCAAGTGCACACAGTTATGACACTGTGATGCCTTCACGGACCAAAGAAGGAAAAAAAAAGGATGACTCCTGTGATCAATAGGAATGCCTCATCAGATGGATAGGTAAACAGAAATCAAAATGGTCAGCAGGGAGGATAAGCATCATTTATGAAGATATCCATACCAAGAAAATATTACCTAACAATAGAGCTGTACCATTTTTGAAAATGAGGCTTTTATCTAATCACTGCGTTTCTGTTATTTAATGGGTAACTTTTATGATCTGTCACTAACATTTTCTTAAAATAATATGTTATTAAACATATACACCTAACCATTCAGACTGGTTGTTTAAACAATTAATTGCATTTGTATAAACTGGCATTATATACAGAATTACTCATAATTAATTATGTGTGCCCATTATTTAAAAGAAAAAAAATGTATATCTAACAACACCAATCTGCTATTTAAATGGCTCCTTATAACCAACACAGATTTAGATTTGCTTGTTAAACAATTACTTACATCTAGTTATGCCGATCTTCTATTTACATAATTATGTTACCCAACCATACAAATAATGAACCTACTACTAAATTTAAAAAAAATTTTTTTTAAAAAAACTATATCTGATGAAACTCTTATTTAATTCGATGTTATGCATTTACGTACTGCCACATACTTTTGTAAAGCAGAAATCCATCTCCGAAACATGTCTACACTTAATTTATGAGGCATATTCATCCACCCTGTGCCAAAATGAATACAGCTATATAAATAAACAAGGCTATTAAGTGAGCAGTGATGGAAATATGGCTGTGTAGATAGAAAGATGGTAATGAGCACTAGTAATCAAAGCAGCAATAGAACAACAAATGGTTTTGAACTGTTAACTACAAACCTCCACGACATATGCCCTGTAAGTTATACAAAGAGTACATTTGTAACCATATTTAACAACAATCTGTAAATATACAAAATGCAAATTGCGAGGCAGCCTGGAATAAACAGTTTTTTACTTCAACAGTAAAAAATAACGTGTATATAATGTTTTTTCTTTTTCTGCATTTATCAGAGGGTGTAAATGTGTTGTGCCTATTTACAACATGGTTGTCTTTCGGCTGACACACGCAACTTCTGCAGGCATTTGTTGCCCGGGTTAGCCATCTCTGATTTGTAATGTTTGAAACAATACATAAAATAATATGTGCAGCCACTTTTATGGATTAAAACTAGTTGTTGTATAGCAGACTTTTCCAAACTTTTCATGTCAGTAACATCCTTTAAAGACAAACATAATTTTGCGGTACAGTAAGGGATAAACATAATTTTGCGACACAGTAATTCATTCAACTAGCAAACAGGAGGTATAAGAGATATCGTCACACCTTCGTAGGACACACCGTCTGCGACCAACATACCAATGTGTCGCAACACATAGTTTGGAAAGCTCTGTGGTAGAGAATTCAGAAAGACTAGAAAAAACTAAGAAATGCAATACTGTACATACTTTAGCTAAGGAAAATGGAATGACGCACATTTGGTAAACAATGCTCAAACAGTGTGTCTGTTTTGTTGCTGACTCAGGGTTATTTAAACATGCAGGTGGTTTCTGAATATTTAAAAGCAAAATTATTTGAAAATAAACATGCTAAAATTGCAAGGCATCTCAAAATCCCATTCCCCTTTATGAATATTTAACATGCAAGACATCTTATGGCAGGGCTGTTCAGGGAAGGATAACTTTGACAGAATTACAAATATTCATGATTTACTTATAATGATTGGCTTAGGTAGCAATATTGCAGCTTTTTGGCTACAGATTTTTGGCTACTTACTGTAGATGATAATATGTTTCTTCTAAAGATTCTTTTGTAAGGAACCAGTGGGTCAGGGCTATTGGTTTGAAAGCTCAATTCTTCTTCTATATCCGTCATTAAAACTGCGGCTTGCACACCGTGTTGTGGTTTTACAGCTAAGCTGTAATAACTGCACCTTTCGTCTCCCAACACATCCAATTTCAGCAACACTTTAACTGCTAAGTAGGTACCAGAAATGGGTACTACAGGAACTAAAGGCGGCCACATAAAACACCGAGTGCCAATTGGTTTCTAAAAAATATGGGATCATTTGATTTCTAATAATACTGGATCAATTTATTTCTTTTAAAAAATGGGATCAGTTAGTTTCTGAAAAAAATGAGACCATTTGTTTTCTAAAAATATGGGAATCAACAACAAATGCTCCATACACCTCACAGCCCAGAAATGGAATCTCACATTTATTTTAAAATATAAAGACTAACAATAGAAAT